GACCCTTGTAGGATTTTGAAGTTATTTGAGAGATTTAAAGGAGTAGTTTTATCAGCACCACCCACAAGTGAGTTTCCATGGCCAATCCTCTTCATCTGAGCCCTAGCCCATCTATTACACTGGCTCACATGGTCTTAAGTGTATAAAACATTTCCTTCCTGAATAATACTGCACTTTCAAGAGATTAATTTCAACCACAGATCTCTCCTGCCTTATGTGTATTTTACATCACTACACCAGCCTCCAGTGCATTGCTGCATGCACATTTCCATCTTGTTAGTAAGTTCTTGTAGAGGCTAGATAAAGAACACCATGGTTCCAGCAGTTTCACACTATTGACCATGCCCTGCATTTTTCTTCTATTAGAATAGATTTTTCTAGGACTTGAACTTTTAAGTAGGAAAAATATCCTGTTAAAATCAGAATTTTATGATTTTAACAGCATATTTTTCCTACTTTTTAAACATGCCTTTGGAAAAAAATATTTACAACTCATTCTTGACAAAAATGCTTCACCCTCCAAAACCCTTGGTGGCAGGCCTGTATTTACAGAACACCCCCCTCCCCAAAATCTCAAAAAACTATGGCTGCACAAGAGACTACACTTAGCGGAGAGATGAACAAGCTCCTACAAACCCAGATATGAATTCTGCCCGTGCATGTAGTTTGGCAACAGAGTTACAGGCCCCAACAATTCACACAAAAAGAGTAATTTTTACATAGTAACTGTTCACTGCTGCACAGTTAATGGGCGTTCCTGCCTTTTTAAGCCTCCCTGGACCTGTTCAAAAGATGCATGAGCTGTAAAAATAAATATTCCCTCACTGATGGACATTCAAAGTGTTGGTGCTGCCTAGGTGAGGGGCATCAACCTCGCCATTGTCAATTCTGCAAGAAGTTCACAAATGCAGAAATAAGTAATGGGCAATCCCGTTTAAGGTTTTATTTTGGGTAGATGTCTCTTCAGACTGTCAACACTATTGTCATGGAGATCTTGGGTCCAGCACTTTGGGTTCTAAATAAGGAAACTCATGGAGGCTTTCTAGGCTGAGCCTGCCTCCATTAAACCTCTCAAGAAACAGGCAACCCAAGTAGATTCTAGTCAGCAGCCAGCAACTCCTAGCTTTGATTCCAAAGCTGGGCCCTCCACCTCCAAGGCACCAAACCATTGCTTTCAACTCCCAAAAAGAAAAAGAAAACCACAAATGATATATTTTTAAAAGAAGACCAAAGTTAAGAAATCTAAGCCAATACTCTGCCCAAAGCAAGATCACCCTTCCCTTAACCTCATAAACTACAATCGCAGATCAAGCATTGCCGCCAGCTTTCAGCCACTCCCCTTAGTGGAGCTGGCTTGTCCCGCAAGCACTGGACAAGCTGTCAATACCCTGCCACCGCCCTATAGCTGCTTGGACTTTTTGTTAGAACATTTAAAATGTTGGCAGATCTATATTTTAAATTTTCAGCAAAAAAAAAAAAAATGAAATATTGGGCAGAAAATGACATGGGTTTTGTTTTGCTTTGCTTTGTTTTGGTCTGTCTGAGGTGTATCTGGTGGATGCAGGAAGGCAGGAAAGTCCCATTACTGCCTGATTGGTGATTCTGATTCCTAGGGTGGCCATGTGGGAGGTGCAATATATTGAATCCAGACCTGATCACATATGATGGCAGGATGGATAGTCACCCAGTTCTCTGTACCTCAAACTGATAACTTGGAGGATTCACCCAAATTTAAGGAAGAAAACTGTTTACAAGGCATGTTATTGTTTAGTCATGTCCGACTCTTTGTGACCCCATGGACCAGAGCACACCAGGCCCTCCTGTCTTCCATTGCCTCCCAGAGTTGGGTCAAATTCATGTTGGTCGCTTTGATGACACTGTCCAACCATCTCATCCTCTGTCATCCCCTTCTCCTCTTGCCTTCACACTTTCCTATCATGGTCTTTTCCAGGGAGTCTTCTCTATGCCATTACAAGGCATAACTACAAACACACACACAAAAAAGTTGATTTTGTGACATCTTTAAAGAGAATGTATTTGTTGCCACAGTTGCACAGTTTTTACTACACCTTAATAGTAATCTAAAGATAGTTTTAGAAGGGTTAGCTGTGATAGTCTGTGTAAGCATATCATATCAGGCAAAATCCAAAGAAATAAAAAGACAAAAGCACATGGCACCTTAAAGGCTAACTATTATAATGTGAGCTTTTGTGGACAAGTACACTTTGCCAGTTATGGACTTGTCTGATGAAGTGGATGTATCCACAAAAGCTCACATAAAAATATAATAGCTAGTCTTTAGGGTGCCACATGTTTTTGTCTTTTTGTTTGTTTTTGATTTTGCCTGATGTCTTTAAAGATGTATTGTTTCTTTGGATTTTGCCTGATGTCTTTAAAGATGTGTCTTTTGCCAATAATAACACATCAATCAATGGGTTCTGTGACTTCTTGCTTCTTTAGATGTCCAGTTCTCAAATAATATTGAAGTGCCTGCAAAACATGTTGGGGTTGATTTAAATCAAATTGAATTAAATCATGGTTTAAATTACGATTTAAACAAATAATTATTGAAGTGCCTGCAAAACATGTTGGGTTTGATTTAAATCAAATTGAATTAAATCATGATTTAAATTACGATTTAATTTTTTAAAATTAGATTTTTTAAAAAATGATTTAAACCAACCTGATTTATAAAAATCATTGATTTTTATTCACCCTGCTGCAAAATGTTTATCTAGATGCTAGAACCCCCCATATTGCAGTTGTTCCTGATTCTTTCTCAGTTAGATTTTTTAAAAAATGATTTAAACCAATCTGATTTTTAAAATTCATTGATTTTTATTCACCCTGCTGCAACATGTTTATCTGGATGCTAGAACCCCCATATTGCAGTTGTCCCTGATTCTTTCTCAACTAACCACGCCCCTCAACCTGATGGTTACCTCCAATCTCAAACTGATCTCCTACAAAACTTTGTTTTTGATTGCTATTACTTCTGCATGCAATACTAGCGAACTGGGCACTCTACATTGTGATTTCCTACAATTCTATAGGGATCAGGTGAAATTATTTCCTGATCTTTCTTTCTTGCCCAAGGTGGTTTCTGAGTTTCACCTAAGACAACTCTTGGTACTCCCTATATATTTTTTCCACCACTCACTTCCAACTTAGAAACGTCACTCCACACTCTGGATGTCTGTAGGGCTTTACCTTTGTACATGCCCACAACTAAAGTTTTTGGAAATCCAACAGACCTTTTGTCAGACATCAAGGCCTCAAAAAAGATCACAATGTTACACCTCAGAGACTCTCTAAGTGGATAGTTGGCATGATCTCTCTATACTACCAACTAGCAAAAAAAAGCCACTGCCTAGTTGCTCAAAAGGGCACTCAACCAGACCAGTTGTTATATCTATGGCATTTCTCAAAGGAGTTCAGCTAAGGGACGTTTGCAACCTGGTCCCAGCCTTTGACATTCATCCACGCTGACTGGACGTCCAGACTAAGTTTGATGCTGCATTCCGCACATCTCCTCTGTGTTAGTGTGGCATACCTCCAGCTCGTAAGTCAGCTTCCCGATCACCCAATGTTTAATTGCACAGAGACCACAAAGAAGAAGGGCAGGTTGCTTACCTACAACTGTAGTTCTTTGAGGGATCATCTGTGAGTTCATTCAAACCCCTCTCCTCCCCTCAGTCTGTCATACAATTCCTATTATTTCTAGGTCAGTGGCAGACTTAGGTAACAGAAAGCTGCCTTCAGGCTGGGGAGTATGTGCACTGAGGAAGGGTGTCTCCTAACACTTTCTAGGCTCTAGAATGGGGCTCTCTAAACTTTTCAGTATGAGCGCCACATCATATATTTTACACATTTTTGAGGGCTGAAGTAGAGAAGGGAAACCTAAGCTATTCCCCACCCCTCGCTGTCTTTGCAAAGACAGTGGGGGTGGGGGATCACTTGGGTTCCCCTCCCCTTCTCTTTCTCTGCCTGGGTCAGGTAAAAAGGCAAGGCGGTCTGGATGTGTCCCCCGGGCCATAGTTTGGAGATCCTTGCCCTAGAAGATTCCAAGGATTTTCATGCAGACGCACAAGAAACCCATATGTGTTAATTCATGGATGACCATTCAAAGAACTAGTTACAACTGCTCTTCAGTTAAGTAGATTCCTGAGAGGATATCAGTATAAAAGCTATAATAAAATAAATAATGGTGAGGAAAGCTATTTTTGCACTACAGTTTTCAGAATACAGTACTGGAATATTTTGGGAGTTGTAGTCCAAACAGTAACTTTTAGCATCCTGAAAACACCCCATTTCTAGCACTCCTCTGGAGAAAGAATGGAGAGGAAATTAAGTAACAACGAAGTGGTAAAAATGCAGTGCTGTTTGATTTGTGCAGAATCCTCAGAATATCAAAGATAAGATCAGGTTTAAGCTTTAAAATCGGGATAAAGACTTCATTCACTACTTGTGTGAAGCAAACAGCTATCCTTGCTATTAATGCAACTGTATCACAAAAACCTGCCCACTCTCTGAACTCTAAATTGCATTTGCAATATGAAATTGAAAACAAGAGAAAGGAAATCTTGATCAGTGCAAGCTTCAAAGCAGACAGATGCAAAATGATCCCTCAAAAGATCATGGCACAGCACGATCTTTTTCTGTGTCACTGTCCTGAGCGTTATAAAGGATTGATTCAGTCCAAAAGAGGAGTAAGAACGCAGGGTCTCCTGTAACTAATACTGACTCAGGTAAGGAGCTACTATGCATTACTAATGAGAGAAACCCAGCCAAAACGTATGCGGCATTTCCAAATCTTTTTTTTAATCCTCCTCAAGCCAACCAAGTGAGCCTCATTTTGTTTTATTTTTGTTTCTATTTCAGTTTATCAAATTTGAACAAAACCGTGAAGGACGTTAACTTTTAAGATGCCATCATAGTTAAGATCATACTTCATATTAAGAAGGCAGACTGAAATGAACATTGTGAGAAAAGTCCATTTCATGATACCGTGGAACATATTTTGGGTTCATTTTCTGTTGTTTTCTTTGGAAGGTAAGTTCTTTCGGACTGTAAATCATTTATAAAATGTTTATTAAGTTGCTGTTTTTGTTTTGCAAAAACTGTTTACATTTCTAGAAAAATGGAAGGAAGTACTTTGTTTTGTCTTTACTTGAATCTGATGCCAACAGTGATTCTGTCAGAAAGGTTGTTCAGACTGAGGAATTTTGATTTTTAAAAGGCTACCATTGCAATATTTTGTATGTTTACTGAGAAATAAGCACCATGCTCAGTGAAACTCACCCCTCCCCCAGTCAAGAATGTCTAGTGCACAGTCACTATGGAGAGGCCCCACTGAATGCAGGAGTAAATGTGTACAGGCTTACATTTCACGTCTCTTAGTCTTTCTTTCAGATGCTAAATTTACACTTCTTTAAAAACAAGGTTTGACTTTCTTCAGGAGGAAAAGCAAAAAGTATGGAAGGAAATATGCTGCAATATGTTGTAAACTTAGAATGAAGTGTTCACCATGGGTGATAGTGATCAATATTCTAGATAGTCTGAGAAATTATTTGAGGCATTTTAATTGTGATGTGACTTTATGGTGGAAATAAAAATAAAAGTAACAGATTGAATTATGATGCCATGGTCTAACAAGAGTATGAAATAATCTGTTTTGCCCAGTGAGAATTCTTGTATTTAATGTCAGTGAACCTGATAACTGCAAGAATTGTACATAGATTACTATAAAAAACCTGAATTCAGTCAGTACGCTTCATCAGTCTGATGGCTGCAATCTTAAGTGTATACACACCTATTTTGTGCTTGAATATAGGGAGTTCCATATTCTGAATGAATTCAAGGCTTTTCAGGCCTTTGTCACCATTAAACTTCAATATCTTTTATCTCTGAGAAGTATGTAACCTGGATATAGAAGAAAGTCTTGTTAGTTCTTTTTGAACGATTACAACTCCACTTTGTTTTAAAAGTGAACTCTGATGAATGGTGCTTTTCTGAGCTCAGTCTATAGAAAAGATACAAGGCAGAGGAGAGAGAGAAAGAGACAGACAGAGAGATTGATTTTACTCATTTCCATCTAATAGGATTTGTCTGTGAATTACCTCTTCTGAAAAGAACTTCAAGGTGAGTTTGAATTCATTCTATGACAGTACATTTAGCTGGTATCTGTAATGTTACTGTTCCCCACCCAAAGTGTCAGGAATTATTTTCAGAGCAAAAAGACTGTCAAAAACCATTTTTGCAATGAAACATGCCTATTTGATAATTGTAGAAATCCAGTGTAGAGCACACTTTCATGGTGCCTTAGGAGGCAGTTTACACTTGAAAGAGAACCTACTTCTGGAGAAAAATGAACTAAAGGTAGCAAGTGTAATATTTAAGCTGATGTCAGAATATGACAGCCTTAAAACTGATATTGGAGAAGGAAAATAACCTAATACAAAATATATTTTCTTGTGATGCTAAATTATGTGTATAAGGGAAGGTGGGGCCAAACTCTGAATGTCTGATTACTCCTACCTACTCAGGATGTTCCTAAACGAGATGGGGAATATGGTAGGTAATAAATCTCATAATAATACAAAAACTGCAAAAGGTCATATGGACCATAGAAATTATCTGTGCTGGGGTGGATAATTTTTGAGTGTCTGTGGGCCAACAACATTTAGGTTCTTGGCTGGGGGGGTATACAGTAACTCAAAAAAATTGCAAGCATGTCAAGGAATGAAAAAAAAGTCACTGAGGTGTTTGAGGTAATTGTGTGGCCTACCTTAAAGTGAATAATCTCTCCTGGAAATATTTAGGAGCCACATGCAATCCCATGGGTGCCCTTTTCCTACCCTCGATCTAAGCTGTGCTTTTAATTTCCATGCAAAGTGTAAATATTAATGTTGTTGTTGTTTAGTTGTTAAGTCATGTCAGACTCTTTGTGACTCCATGGACCAGAGCACGCCAGGCCCTCCTGTCTTCCACTGCCTCCCGGAGTTTGGTCAAATTCATGTTGGTAGCTTTGATGACACTGTCCAACCATCTCCTCCTCTGTCGTCCCTTTCTCCTTTTGCCTTCACACTTTCCCAACATCAGGGTCTTTTCCAGGGAATCTTCTCTTTTCATGAGATGGCCAAAATACTGGAACCTTAGCTTCAGGATCTACCCTTCCAATAAGCACTCAGGGTTGATTTCCTTCAGAATTGATAGGTTTGTTCTCTTTGCAGTCCGGGGGACACTCAAGAGTCTCCTCCAGCACCATAATTCAAAAGCATCAGTTCTTTGGTGGTCAGGCTTCTTTATGGTCCAGCTCTCACCTTGTCAGCAGGGTGATGTATCTGCTTTTTTAGATGCTGTCTAGGTTTCTCATCGCTTTCCTCCCAAGAAGCAGGCGTCTTTTAATTTCGTGGCTGCTGTCACCACATCTTCCCCTTCTACTTTCCAGGAGGTGATGGGACCAGTGGCCATGATCTTAGTTTTTTTGATGTTGAGCTTCAGACCATTTTTTGTGCTCTCCTCATTCACCCTCATTAAGAGGTTCTTTAATTCCTCCTCACTTTCTGCCATCAGAGTGGTATCATCTGCATATCTAAGGTTATTGATATTTCTTCCGGCAATCTTAATTCAAGTTTGGGATTCATCCAGACCTGCCTTTCACATGATATATTCTGCATATAAGTTAAATAAGCAGGGAGACAATATACAGCCTTTTTGTAGTCAATGAAGCAGAAGTAGATGCTTTTCTGGAACTCTCTGGCTTTCTCTATAATCCAGCACATGTTAGCAATTTGGTCTCTAGTTCCTCTACCCCTTCAAAATCCAGCTTGTACTTCTGGGAGTTCTCGGTCCACATACTGCTGAAGCCTGCCTTGGTGGATTTTGAGCATAACCTTGCTAGTGTGTGAAATGAGTGCAATTGTATGGTAGTTGGAGCATTCTTTGGCACTGCCCTTCTTTGGGATTGGGATGTAGACTGATTTTTTTCCAATCCTCTGGCCACTGCTGAGTTTTCCAAACTTGCTGGCATATTGAGTGTAGCACTTTAACAGCGTCATCTTTTAAGATTTTAAATAGTTCGACTGGAATGCCATCACCTCCACTGGCCTTGTTGTTAGCCATGCTTTCTAAGGCCCACTTGACTTCACTCTCCAGGATGTCTGACTCAAGGTCAGCAACTGCACTATCTGGGTTGTCCAGGACATCCAGATCTTTCTGGTATAATTCCTCTGTGTATTCTTGCCATCTCTTCTTGATGTCTCCTGCTTCTGTGAGGTCCCTCCCATTTTTCTCCTATATCATGTCCATCTTTGCACAAAAAATTATTAATGTTACAAAGACAAAATTGAGGGAATCCTTAGACTGTTGTGAAGTCTATCCTTTCCATAATACAGAGGATTTCCTATTCTATTGTGCCAATTCTCTGTGAAAGGGTGTTTTTCCTTCACAAGGGAGCTTCATACAGAAGCTCGACAACTATTTGTTCAGGATACTCAAGCTTCGTTGAGGATTTCCTGTACTGAGCAGTGGGTCGGACTAGATAGTCTACAAGACCTTCCCCAACACTACGAATGTGTGATGCATTAGGCAACTGATTTCTTTCTTTAACTGGTCTAATTGTTAGACCGCCCCCCCAAGATAAAACCATGCTTAGCGGTCATAGAGGTTTATTTATAATAAGGGGAATTTTATTGAACCTCACCTCCTATTGAACCAGGCTCCTAGTGGGTATTAATTCACTTCTGTGAAGAACTACATATGCAGTAGCCATTTGCACACAAAGAACGTCATCCATTTATGTTGTTTGTTTGCAGAAGGCTCCTGTATGCTTATGCTCTCCAGCTGATAAATGTTAACATGGTAACATCCTTTCTCTGATTTAACTTCATTGGTTTACCTGCTCCTTTACAAATTAAACAGAAATAAAAGAAATCAAATCTCTGAAAACTCTTACAACCCCTGCCTCTTCCCCAACTTAACTTACGCCCAGTTCTTAGCCATCTCTCCATACTTTAAATGCTTTGTGTCTGTGAGCAAAAATTAGGGCTATGTTATGCTTTGTCAAAGGAGAGAATGAAAGGAGGACAAATGTGAAGGTTGACTTTTAAAAAAACAAAACAAAACAGAACCTCAACCCAAGAAAGGTGTCTTTGATAAAGTGAGAGAAATCAGAGAGAGACGCCACTCTCATGGGGGCTTGCTTGTTCAAGTTACTTCAACAACTTTGATTATACAAGATCCTTTTTGTTTTCTTCCAGGAATGAATTTAATGCAATTCGTCCGAAAAGAGATCTCTTAGCAGCCGAGGTAGGTTATACCTCAAAAGAAATAAAAGAGAAGCCCACGCACTCACACCCATCTGCATACAAGGGGAGTTTGCTGCTCCTACAATGAAGTCTTTGTAAAGCAGAATGGAAATGATAGCAGCAAGGCAGGGATGTGGAGGAGTAGCTTCTCCGTACCTGTTTCCCTGTAGCTCTCAACATGCAAAACTACATTCGCCTATTCATTTGTTCATTCCTTGCAAATCGCTTCTTGAATTAATCACTGCAACAAATGCATATCGAGCAGAAAAAGGGCTCTTTCACTCTTATTTCTTTTGTGAGAGTGAACAAAAAGATTCGGAATTTTGTTAGTGCTTGGCAAAAAGGGCAATCATGAAAAAAATGTACATGACTGGTTAGACTTCTGATATAGCTTCATTGTGGTTTCAATGCATAGTTCCTGTGCCTCCAGAAACTCGAGAGATAAGGGAAGTAGGAAACTGGGCTACTAGGTCAGCCCTGACTTTCTGTATTGGTTGTCTGTTCTTGGTGTTGCGACTTTGGGTTGTGCATCAGCCAAACTTAAAAGACCTTCAGACAGCTTTTGTTGGTTCTGATATTCTCATTACGTCTTTCTTTGAGATTTTTACTAAGATGCAGGTGGGTTCAGTGCTGAGACCTCCATTCCTGCTTCAGGCTTCAACTTTTCTGTTGCACAATGTTCCATTTGCTATTTCATCGTCATGGTGCCATGGTTAAACTGCAGTACTGCAGCCAAAACTCTGCTGACGACCCAGGTTCAGTCCCAGGTAGCCTGTTCAAGGTTCACTCAGCCTTCCAGCCTTCCAAGGTTGGTAAATTGAGTATCCAGCTTGCTGAGGGGACAATGTGTAGCCTGCATAATTAAATTGTAAACAACCCAGAGAGTGCTTTAAGCACTATGGTAAAGGTAAAGGTTCCCCTTGACAATTTGTCCAGTCATGTCCAACTCTAGGGGGCAGTGCTCATCTCTGTTTCCAACCCATATAGCTAGCGTTTGTCTGAAGACAATCTTCAGTGGTCATGTGGCCATCGTGATTAGACACAGAATGCCGTTACCTTCCCACCGTGCTGGTGCCTATTTATCTACTCGCATTTTGCTTGCTTTCGAACCGCTAGGTTGGCAGGAGCTGGGACAAGCGACGGGAGCTCATTCCATCATGTGGATTTGATCTTATGACTGTTGGTCTTCTGACCTTGCAGCACAGAGGCTTCTGTGGTTTAACCCGCAGTGCCATCACGTCCCTTAAGCACTATGGGATGGTATATAAACAGCATGCTTTGCTTTTTGGTCAGGAAGGTTTTTGCTACTTCCTCTGTTCTTGCGCCATCAACCCAGCTTATAATTGCTTCTCAGATGAAACAGAATGCTCCTGCTCCTTACCATGACAATCTCCAAAGCACTGAGATATTCCAGAGCCAGTTCTGTGCTACCTAAATTTAGCTAGCTTTGGAAGATTGAATACTGGAATATTATAGCATTTTTGTGAAATTTAGATTTGTATCAAAACAATGGCATGTTATCTCATCACTGTGTTGGAACTAGGCAGGTTTTTGACTTCTTATTTTTAGGAGTTGTTGACACTTGCATCTGTGGAATTCTCTGCCACAGTTTTTAATAAAAAACCCCAACAGACCTTCCATTTTGGGAATGTCTCCCCTTGTCCACCAGCACAACTAGGTTGTCAGGCTGCCAGAGAATACTCAGCAAATTTATATTCATGGGATGTGCAGGCATCAGTTCACAAAAGAGCTTAATATCTCATCTAAAGATGGGCTTACAATCCTGAATTTTAGACTTTACTTTTCTTCCTTTTAGTTCAGTTTATTAGAAATGATAGCACCATTTCATGGATTAATGTGAAACAAGGTCAAACAAATGTCTTGTCTCCTTCTTTGCCATCCCTCAGATACAATGCAGTTAGCTGGAATAAAATAAGGAATCCCTTCATGAAAGGTGCACTTTCTGTATGGCACAAATGGGGAGCATTGCTGTTCCCATGTTTTTCTCCAGTTTGTTGATCATCCCCTACTTGCCAGAAATGACAAGAGGACATAGTTTGAAAACTGGCACATGTAGGGGAACAGGTTACCTGCAGAGATCCACCTGGCCCTCTCACTGAGGGCCTTTAAGTCCAATCTGAAGACATGGCTATGCAGGCAGGCCCTCCCTACAGTCATCACCTAGCCTATTTCTTTTCTTTTTCCCCTCTATTTCGTTTTCCATCTTGGACTTTGTGATTAATTCAGATTTTACCTTTAGTTTATTTTTTATGCTTTGTGTAAACCTCTCACAGTAGACATGTTCTAGATGGGCAGTATATAAACTTAATGAATGAATGAATGAATGAATGAATGAATGAATGAATCTTTGTGTTATCTAGTGTTAAAAGTGATAGAGAACTTTGGGTTTCTCTTGAGTAAATGGTAACTTAACCCTTGGTACACTTTTCTAAAACACTGCACTGGATGCAGACTTGACCATGCTTTGAGTTGACCCATGGAAATCAACCACAAGATTAAATTCAACTCTGTTAATTTCAGTAGTTCTGCTAGAAAGGTGAATGGCACTGCATCCATTCTGCTGATTTGTACTATTGAGTGCTTCATACAGGCACAAATGATTTAGCCTTTCTGTTTCTTTCCAAGGGCGCTGCAGTCTCCCCTGTGGCTCACATTCATGATGGCATTTCTCAGGCCCAAAATTCATCACGAGGTTAGTAGTGGATTTTTATTTCTGCTGCCTGTTTCAACAGATATTCTAACATCATGTTTAAATGCTCTTGACTTTCATGCCTAGCAATTCTAGTTCTTAGTATATTAGGATGAATTCTCAAGTCTCCCATATTAACTCAGTACTGTTTATGGACCTGAACGTAGACCAGTATTAACGCAGATTCATGCATTTAGCTTGAATGGAGTGTATGAAGGTGAGCAAGGGGCTTGGATTTATGTATACTGGCCTTACCACCTGACCTTATGTACACTGCCCTGTGAGTCCCTCATCCACACCGTACTGCTAAACAAGGTCTGAGAATGGCTTCTACTTGAATTTACTTGAATGTGACTAGAACTCCCTGAATGACTGAGGACTAACAAGCAAACATCAAGAAAACATTTGAAGGAAAGTTGGGGACTGAGGGGCAAGCATGGTACAGCCTTAGCCAATGTGTACTTAATGGTCTAAATCCATTGTGGCACTCCCTACAACGCCAGAGATAGAGAACCTCTCCCCCTTTCCCTTCTTTCTGCACCCCTTGGGAACCAATTTTGAGATTGCATATTGTGACTATCTTCAACAATGCAAAAGGAACAACCAAACACTTCCCTTAGGACTGATAAAAGAATGGCAGAAAACCAGAAAAATTACTGTCAAATAGTAAAACACCTGTAAAACACCTTAAATGCTGCTTTGAAAGTAACATTTGAAAGGAACTAGAAAACACTTCATTATAGTTAAAAAGGAATATTGTAACTTCTTGTTAATTACTCTTGTTACTTTATATCTCCTCAAAAGTTACTCAAAAGTAACTAATAACAGTAATTGTTATTTTAATCAATTCCTTTGAAACTCCAGGGACTACAATTTGCATTTAGAGATCACCATACTGGGAGAAGCTAATTTAAGAGATTTTTACAATTTTAGTGCTCATTTGTAATTGGCTTTTTTTGTTATAGGTTCTTGCCCTTATGACTGCCTTAATGGAGCAGTTTGCACAGAAGCAGGAATATGTGACTGTGAGACATTCCAGGCCCAGGGAAAACGGTGTGAAACTGGTAAGTCTCAGTAATAAATTGAGGAGCTGAATTTCATAAAGGTGAGATGTTTATTGAAATGTTATCTGTCCTACAGCTCCACCTACACACTGGAAATGGCAGCATCTGCAGTGGCAGATTGCTGCCGATTAATGGTTTTCTTTTGCAATTTTGCTACTGCAGATGATGACTTTTTCATTCTTCCAGCATTTTGGCCATTAAAACTAGTTTGTTGAAAGAGTAATACTCAATAAACTTCAGCAGTTTCCTTCCAACTATTTTGCTGGATATCCACTACAAAACTGTTGTATGTACAACTATTTTTAACAAACTATATTTAACATCTCACTTTAATATGAAATGTCTCTGGTTGTATCATGTGTATCCCTCAGCCTCAAAGATCCTTTGAAGAACTAGAGTATCAATCACCTGCCTTAGTGTCTTGGTCACTTGTTTAAGCACGATAATTTGCTGACTATCTGATTTGTATTCACAGTTAACCAGAGTAGTATGGCAAATACTTGTATTAACTGTACTTGAAAATGTCTGAACATCCTTAGAGCCAGGCATCTAGGAAGACCCCAAACCTTCACAGTAGAGCCAAGTGTATGTTGATACCTCTACCTCCCTTTCATGTTCAGGTTTATGACTTAGACCCCTCCATGGGCCTCCCTTCTTGTTTTCTTTCAGATGATGGAGTGATAGTGCCACTGATGCCCCAGTGACTTGGGGAGGAGGGTTGGAATGGGGCAGCTTCAAGTTTGTTCTCTTTCAATTTCTTTGAATTTGGACAACATTGTAGGTGCCTTCTTTTAGTTTCTGCCATACTGTGGCAGGAAAATTATACCTTATACATGTAATCTTTTCTGTGCCACCTTGGATCAAAGTTCTCAGGCTGCAAACCAAAGACTTATGGTAATTTATATGCAAGTAAGGAAACTTTCTCTTACTTAAGTTTATTAAATATCTCCTCTGCAATAGCTCAGCAAAGCTTGCCTCTTCCAGAGAAAACCTTGGTGAAGAATTAGGCTCTGTGTATAATTCTCTGACCTGACAGTACATTGCAATCCACATATTCGGACATACATTTGGCAGGAATCTCTGTTTATAACATGATATGGGTGATTGAATTTACCGTATATCTAGGTTTTTGATGTGGTTTCAATGATATGATGGTGATAGTTTGAACATGCCAGGTTGCATTTGCCATGTTGGCTTCTGTTGCAAACCAATCATTTTAATGTTTCTAGTTGCAAATGCAGGCAAAGACAGAGATGGAATTTGCAAATCTTGGGGGCAGCATCACTTTGAAACATTTGATGGAATCTACTACTATTTCCCAGGAAATTGTTCTTACATTTTGGTGAAAGACTGCGGTGATCCAGAGCCTCAATACACTGTGTGGGTAAGACTGGATGTTTGGATCAAGAAGAAAGAGGAAGCAAAATGCCAAAAAAGTTTCCCTTTTAATTCCATGCTCTACAACAGATTTCTCTGCAATCACTTTGCATAGATCTTTTTTCAGCTGAAGATAGATGCACGTGGAGGAAAGAAGGACCTGTGTGATTCTGTTTGCTCATTTATGCATGTCTCTCCTATTGAGTTCAGAGACTAATCTGCTTATGGTACCATTGACTACCCAATTTAAATTTAACTATTTGGTCTGAGATTAAGAAGACTCCTTGCAGGTAATTTAAAATGGCAGAACGAGAGAAATGTAGGGATGATGTAGGTCTATCAAATGGGCCAGCCATATTCTGTTTAACCATGCAGTGAAAGAGACTTGCATTTTTCTCTTCTCATTGTCTTAAGAATATACAACTAGTCTTTGAGTGCAACCAGATGCATCACCAGCAGACATATGGGTTCTCCTGTGTCATTATTAAAAAACAGGGGAGTTTGATATGGTTGACGGAAAGTGTGAATGAAGTTAGGGAACAGAGAGGATCTTAATCCTTCCCCAAACCTATTCTTTTTGTTTTAAAACTTCTACAGCACAGCCATTTTTCTGATCACTTCTGCTCTCCCCCCTCCACCTGAAAAATAAACCAGTTTGGGGTTAAAAAGCACTAAAGGCCAGATGATTCTTCTTTGTTCTTCTGCTATCATCATCTCCAGTTGTATTTTTGGGGACTCCACCACTAGTTTGTTGTATAAAGTAAGCAATAGATCAAATTTCAGTATATCAGTCAATAGGAGTTATATCTAGCGTTGTAGTGTCAAGCTTTTGAATTACTTGGGAAGACACATTCACTAAAGAGGCAGTGGATGCAGTCAGAGTCTGCCCTAATAGTGGCTGGTTATCAAGGACAATTTTATGCCCACCATACAGATGCCCAAGATACTTTTAAGCTACATTCCCTCATCTGCTGGTACTTGAGGTGATCTGTAGTAAGTGACTCAGATGACTTATTTTAAGAGTAGCTTAATTTCTATACTACCTTCTGGTTCTACAAAGTTTCAGAAGAAGCAAGCTTATCTGTGTATTGGTAGGTTAGTAATTTTCAGAGGTGTGCAGATTTGTGTTTTTGAACTGTAACCCCCAGAATCTGCACACTTCTAGTACCCAGATTGCTGAGGGCAGGAAGCAATGTGTAGCCTGCAGAATTAACTTGTAAACTACCCAGAGGGTGCTTTTAGTGCTATGGGGCAGTATATAAGGGGCACACTTTGCTTTTTGCTTTTCTAGTAATATTCAGAGAGAGAGCGAGAGAGAGAGCGCTGTGCTAGTCTGTTTGAGCATCTGTACCAATTATGGTGTCACCTTTAAATCCAGCTGATTCATTTCATTGTAAATTTTTTGTGAATTACAGTGTGTATGAGGAAATGGATTTTGAAGGCACGCAGTGAAATAAATCTGATAGTCCTAAAGGTGCTGATAGAACTTTTGTTTTTGTTAAGTTTAGTCTGGTTTAGACATGCTAGTCCTGTCAGTTAAATATTGTCTGGATTGCTGGTATAGCATCCAGTTTTATAAAACCACTAACTCTATTTTAGATACAAGGTTGAAGTAGTTTTACCATACTACTCTAATACACATAAACATTGCCCCATAACCTAAGCTATTGTTATCTGTTGCAGCAACATTGAAGTTTGTATTTACTGTAAATGAAATTCATTGTGAAATAATGAATACAGACTGGCAGCAATGTTAAGGGTTGATAATTCTGGGGCAAGTGATATGCCTGGGAAGCTTTTTGTGTTATATTTTCTGCTTACATAGAGATTCTTCAGTGCAAAATGCATGTGTGTTTAACTTCAACTCTGAAGACCCCATACATGATCTCTCCCCTACCCTTGAAAATTGATCAAAACAGACCCAACCTTTTCCCATTCTAACCTTTTGAGGACTATTGCTGTATACTGTGTTAGTCATCCTGTAGTTAATGGCTCTCAGGGTAACATATACCCTCATGCATGTTTTGTATTTAGATTTTTAAACACAGTGGCCTGACACCAGCATAGCAATGTCCCTACAGCGTCAGAGCAATAGAACGCCCTCCGCTTTCACTTTCCCTTGTAGCGCTTAGAGTGGCCCAAACGCAAGCTGTGGGATAATTTCCAGTCCTCCCAAATCAGATCTTTTGGATGCACAGGAGGGCTGTAATGAGAAAGAGAGCTTGCCTGGTCCTTCTGGATTGGGCTCTTCTGTGAACAGCCGTCCAGCTTTGGGTTCTGCAGAAAATATGGTAGGAAAAGTTGCTCCAACTGTTTCCAGCTCAATGTATTTTATGGATATATCTAATGCTGCATTAATGCATTAGATGCCTTAATAGAAAAGAATAGGTCTGTTACTCACTTTTCCATGTGCCTTTCTGTCCCTAAGATTCATAACAGCCCACATTGCTTTGGTTCAGTTTACTCTTGCCTGAGGTCGGTCAGCTTGTTCTTTTCAAATCAAGAGGAAATACTCATTGTGGGGCACGAAGTCAGAGAAGGGAGCATCAGGTAATAATTGAAAAATCTCTGTTGTTTTTTCATGGAAATAATGTACTGCACAGCAACGGTTGAAATAATTTTCTGCAGAACAAGTCTATTATAGACAGGGTGTGATTTAAAACATTGGTATAGGGTAAATCCAATGTGAGTGTGAATTAGAATAGTTCCATTGTACTGAATGATATTTGTTAATTACAAGTCAGTGACATGTTCCATTTGCTTCAATAGGTTCACTTTAACTGGAATTAAAATTAAATTTAGCCTGTAAAGTTAAGATTTTTATTATATAATATAAGCAAACACATAATTTCTATATTTGTTTTTATTGGTAGAGAGTTATTTTTTTAGACAACTAAGATTTGAAGGCAACCAAATATGATATACAGTGGGTTTGACATCTTTAAATGGCAACTTGTTTTGTTTTTCTAGATTGATGTTGCCCCAGACCATTGGAAATATATTCATTGAGAGATTAGCAGATTATATTCTGGTGAAAACCACATTTGGCTTTTCGTTAGCTTGGGATGGAAACTCTGGGATTTACATTAAACTAACAGAAGAACACAAGGGGAAAGCATGTGGTCTGTGTGGAAATTATAACAATGATACCTCTGATGAATTCATAATACAAAGTCGTAAGTGCACCAAACTGCTATGTGATGTGTAAAAATAAGTATCTGGTTCATATTTTCTGGTAATTGAGACACTGTTGCAAGAATATTAATATGTTGTGAGTTATAGTTATGTAATTTTTTTCACAGTTTATTTGGAAGAGATGTGGGCAGACTGTGGATTGGGATGGGGACTGCCCCTTCCCTGGTCATGAGATGTAACTATTGGGAGAGAATGCTATTACTGAATGTGTTGATAGGATGTTAGAGAGTAGTTCCCAAACTAAGGTTTCCAGATATTGTTGGATTGCAGTTACCACAATCCATAGCTAGCATGGTTTATGTTGATAGGGTTTGTAGGCAAACAATATTTGCAGACATATGGTTGAGAACCACTGCTTTAAAGTGTTCAATCATGTTACATCTTTATTCTTATAATCTTTGCAATACCCTCTAAGGTAGGAAAGTTGTGTTATCCCCATATTGTAAGGTAGAGAGAGAAAGCAGCTCACTGACAGCCATCTGTCTGAGTACAGTGACTCAAATGGTTCTTACCCTTTGATGGTCTTGTCCATTGGTGAGATGTTTTGAAAGCTGACAGTGAAGGTCAAATTTTATGTTTATATTTTAATATCACCATTATAAATATCAACAGAAATCAGTAGTTCCTAACTTGTTTTTTGAGTCACAAACCCTTTTATAATATAGCCATGTAACATGCAACTTCCATCACCACGTTTGCATAAAAAGGCATTTTTAATGGGGTAAAGTCATCCCTTCTCAGAAAGTAGGGGTTTCTTTCTCCCCCTAAGGGTCTGTTTATTATTCATACACATACTTGCTAACTAAACATGGGCACAAATCAGAACAATGGTGACTCATTTTGATTAATGATTCATCATGGTCACTGAATCACAAATAATAAATTTACAATTTTTTTCCTGATGAATCAATGAATCGATTCATCAATTTGTTTTTTTACTTTAAAACCCTATAAAATGGTTCCCCAGACACCTAGAGACACCAAGTTCAAAGGGAAGCTTCCTCCGATTTTCATCTACAAGCTCTTCACATTTGGTGAAGACTGAATTTCAGACCAAGTTATATACTCACAAAGATGATTCCTCCAGGAAAGTGCCCTTTAGCAGCTGGCTTGGGGAAACCCAATCGTCATCAAACTTGTAGGGATTGTACAGGAGAATCAGAGGCAATTTTGGTGTCTCTAGATTCCTGGGGTCCATTTTATAGCCAGATGAATCAACAAATCAAAAGTTGCAAAAAATCATTGAGTCGTATTTGTCGGAGCAATGATTTGTACAAATAGGAATAAAAAAATAGTGATTTTTGAATGAATTTGGTGATTCATTTTTTAAATTCATGCCCATCTTTAATGCTAACTTTAATATATGGCTCTGAAAGGTCAAGGACTAGAACACATATAAAGTGACCCATGACCCCCCAGAAAACACTTTGTAACTCCCTTGGGGGTCCTGACCTCAGGCTAGGAAATTTTGATATGAACAGTCCAGAACACATGATGTATCTAAAAAATAATGAAGACTTTTAGGAAAGTCAAAAGGCTGACATTCAAAAGGAAAACTAAGAATATGTACAATAAACTGATTATTTGTTTTTTGCTACACTTTCCTTAGTGTTAACACTTTCCTCAGTTAATATAAAACCAACACTTATACAATGTGACCCTTTCCCTTCTTCTTGATTATATTAAAATATAAGTTATAATATTAAATTATTATATTTAAACACACACACACACACACATATGTTTAAATACAGTAATAATGTTCTGTGCAGAAGGTCTAAGTGTTTAAATGCAGAACTCTACCACTCTGATAAAGTTGTGGGAGGGGACATTAGTCTATTGTGGCATACCAATGAATACCATGTTGTTGGAGAATGTGGTTTTTGGTCAAGATTGTTTTCAGTCATATACACTAAATGTATTTGCATAAAATGGAACCACAAAATCCTTATTCAGGAATTACCTCCCCAAACTAGTATATTTACTTTTATAGATTATTTTTCCCTCTCTTGAGTTTAACTGAATCCCCAGTCTTCCAAAAAAGAGACTACACACAGCCCTTCTCTTTTCTTCTCTCTCTCCCCCCCACATCTTTGTTCAGGCCTGGTGTCTGTTTTCTGACTCCTGGAGCAATGTTTACAACAGTGCCCTAAAACAACATAAGCCATAAATTACTGCATGTACAGATACCATACACCCAAGAACCAATGAATATTTAGAATGTTCTACTTGTGAAACAGATATTTCATTCAACATTTCATTCTGTCTCCATATGTCTGATGAAGTGGACATGTTCACGAAAGCTTACATTAAAATATAATAGCCTTTAAAGTGCCACATTTTTTTTGTCTTTTTTTTGTTTCTTTGGAATTTGATTGATATGCTTGCACAGACTAATACGGCTACCTCCTCCAAAGCCTTCCCAATAGCTAGGGGAGTCCCTACCTATTTTCTTTCTCTGTCACACAGAGAGCCTACATATGAGCAGGACCTCTGTCTGTATGTTGAAAGCAGTGATGAAAAGGGGATGGGATAGACACTCCCCTTGAAGTGTGATGAGTCTGTACATGAAGGCAATGCCCTAGGGCTAGCATCACCCTAACATTAGTTCCATGGCTGAAAGGGCTTTACTAATTTGCATAAATGAATAAATATTATGCCATATGCAGGTGATTATTATGGCATTTGCAATATAATGAAATGTCATCACGCTCTTACTCTTGTGGAAAATTATGTTCTTCAGTAGGTGACCTTAAAGAAGACATTGCTGAATTTGCAAACAGTTGGTCTGTTCAAACTCCAAGCGATGCAACATGTGTAGCTACTGCATCTGACTTTCCTAGTCCTTGTTCCAACAATATGGAATCTTATGAGGCAAGTAGGCTACTTTTCGATTTCACATAGAATAACCTCTAGCAAATTTATGTTTATGTAAAAGCCAGGAATGGAAGGGGACTGCCCCATTCCTTCCTCTTCTCTAAATTAAGATAACTCACTCTGCCTGTGTTAGAAGAAAGCATTTGTTAAGTTAATATTTGGGGGATGGACAGTATTTGTAGAACACAGGCAAATAAGGCGTATGAAGAGATTTCTATTGGCCTTGGGAATAGTTGTTCAATAATAACTAAGAATATTAGAGTTGATTAAGCTCACATGCATTGATGTAACTTGTCTTCTTCTGCACACAGGATATCTACTTCAAGTGCCAAGTACTCTTGCAGTTTCCTTTTTTTAGCTGCCACCAAAGCATTGACCCTTATCCCTATATTTCCAGCTGTATGAATGACCTTTGTAGGTAAGTAGAATACAAGCAATTTTTTAGAAAAATCTGGGCTCTTATGAAGCTATAGTTATTCTTTCTTTGCCCAGGAAAAGACTTTCTACATTAGTAACGACAGAGAACAACACACTTTGCATTGTTAAGCTCAAAAACAATTAGAAGTGGATACATTCTCCTTGGCTTGGAAGTGCATGGAGATATTGCCAACTTGCTTATAGCTCAGTTCATTGCCGGACCAGTCCAGATCTGCTATTTTTTCTCTCTCAGAGTAGTCCTCAGCAAAGACTGAAGAAATCTCTTTTCTTTTTTCTGCAAGTGAGGAATGTGAAGAACTTCCTCTAGGAAGATTGGGGTTGGGAAGAACAGCCAAGATAGATGCATAAATGTATCTCCTAGTGTGGTGTCATGAGCAGCTCTTAAATACAGCCACTTACGAAAACAATAAAGCTGCTTCTAAGGGCTACCATAAAAAAATCCCTCCACCTTTGTCCCCATGGTGGGGGGATTCTTGTGGTAAGAGAATTCCCTCTACTGTGTCAGTTTTCACAGGACCAGCTTTTTAGAGAAAGTCTATATTGGGAAATCTTCTCCAGACTAGTTTTGAGGGTTAGGTGCTTCATTCTTGTCTCTTTTTCGAATTGAGCATTACTGAGCACTTGAAGCTCATCTCTGGTCCTGAGCCTAATATCTTTGTCGACATTTCTATCTACAATGGAATCAATATTTGTTTCTTCAAATGGAAATTTGGGGCTATGTATCTTGGATTGCGTTAATGTTGAATTTAGGTTATTTGTTAAAGAGAATTTTTGCTATGAGGTTTAATGAAGGAAGCATTGTGTGGAGTCATTGTTTATATATATTCTTTCTTTTGAGACCCATTTTATTGGATTATATGTGGTAAGATGAAGCGGGTTTGATGGTAATAAAAGGAGATAATGAAGCTTGACTCAATGGCTTTATAATAACTGATTTTGAACCGCCAACAGGCATTGAATGATATATCATACCGGGTGTAAAACCGTTGGAAACTTGAACTGCTATAAAAACGACATTTTAACTACCATTGTTTCTTAACTTATTTTCTATGAACAGAACAAAGCTCTATTAACAAGTCAGTGCTTCCCCATTGTATTTAACTCTCTTAAAAGAGAGCAATTCTTTTGAAGTTATGGTATTTATGCAGAGTTAATTTAACCATAAAAGACTTAATCAGTGAGAACTTATTTTGCCATTTTAGAGAAGATGATGATGAAACTTATTGCCGAGCAGTTACAGAGTATGCTAGATCATGTGCACATGCAGGCTACCCGGTACGAGATTGGAGAGATGACTTTCCAGCATGCAGTAAGTTTGGCTAAAGAACTTATTTTAATACTAGTCAGCTGAAGGCTAGATTCAGGGTGTCTTCACAGGTGTCTTCACAGTACTTGCTTGACCACCCTAAGGTTAAAGATAATCTTTTGGTTGCCAATGAGCCATCTCCACTGTGGTACCCAATATACTATTTGTGGCTGGAACACTGTAACCATTCAGAGTGAATATAAGAGGAAGTCTAACCAATAGATTTCAGCCATTTTGCTCTGTAACCTGCTGGCTACACACATTATGAAATGGAGAATGATTCAAGATCATGTTGAATAACAGGTATAATCTCCATTAGTTTTTTTCTTTTGAATAAAGCTTTGATATACTATCCTTCATTATAATGGTGCTAGATGGGGTTAAATTCCCTATGAAATCACTGGTGTGTAGCTGGAGGGTGTTTCTGGATTTGTCTCTGTGTTTGGATGCCCAAGTCTTGGCAGTTTTCAGGAGTTTGGATTTGAAGCAAATGCTAAATTTAGGATACTAGTGATGAGTTGTTGTTATGCACTGTCAAGCCAGAGTGATGAGTTATATTAGTATTAATATGCATTACTGAATGGGTAATGGGTTAATACCCAGATTTGCTAGATAGTTCATGTGTATTTTGTGTTATTAATCAGATGAAATGAACAATGAGATAATTTTTAACTTGTCATATTTTAGCTGATAAGTGTGAAGAAAGTTTTATCCACCGGGATTGTATTAGCTGTTGTCCACCAACCTGTACCTTTGAGAAAGATTGTCTTGGCAGTAACCTTCACTGCTTGGATGGATGCTACTGCCCAGATGGTAGGTGTGCTGCTTTTTAAAAATTGGTTTTGTAATGTCAAGCTGTATCAAAGAAAACTATCTTTAAATGTGAGCAGGATCCAGTTGCTTTAGCTATCAAAGATTCCTGTGGATTGTAAAGTTGCTTGTACTGTATTTGTGTACTACTAGAGTTTTGTACATGTAAAAACCTTGCCCAGATGGTAGGTGTGCTGCTTTTTAAAAATTGGTTTTGTAATGTCAAGCTGTATCAAAGAAAACTATCTTTAAATGTGAGCAGGATCCAGTTGCTTTAGCTATCAAAGATTCCTGTGGATTGTAAAGTTGCTTGTACTGTATTTGTGTACTACTAGAGTTTTGTACATTGCTAGTAAAAACCTTGAGAAAATACTTTTGACAGGATCAGATCAATATTTTTTATGAATTATGAAGGATTTACAAATATATGAATGACAGAAATAAAAATGGAAATAAAAGACAAAGTGCTCTGTGGCAAGTTAAATACTAACAAGAGTTTTTTTTTGTTTTTTATTTTTTTGCTTTTTGTGAATTACAGCCAGTATGTCAGAGGTGCAGAATCTAAGTCTCAGGCAACAGTTCATGAAAGTTTATGCCAATGCAATGAACTAACAGGCCAAGTAAAATGCAGAGCTTCTGATAGTGTATTCATCATCTCTATCACAGCTATAATCATGTATCACCCTCTTTTACAGTCTACAGTGAAATATTTTCTGATTTTAAGTGACGGATTAAAATCCGTTGCTTAAAACGAATTTTAATCCATCGCTTAAAATCAGAAAATATTTTAAGACATTTTGAAGAACAATCAGTTGAAAATTTCAAATATAGATAAGGTTTAATCCCAATGAGATTTGTTTCATTTACACATTGCGGAATATCATTGCTACCTATTGGCTTAAACACTATCACTTAGCATAATAAATTGCAGAACTAACAGGCCAAGTAAAATGCAGAGCTGCTGATAGTGTACTCATCATCTCTATCACACCTATAATCATGTATCATCCTCTTTTACACTCTACAGTGAAATATTTTCTGATTTTAAGCGACGGATTAAAATCCATCGCTTAAAATCAGAAAATATTTCAAGACATTTTGAAGAACAATCAGTTGAAATTTTCAAATGTAGATAAGGTTTAATCCCAATGGGATTTGTTTCATTTACACATTGCGGAGTATCATTGCTACCTATTGGCTATCACTATCACTTAGCATAATAAGTTGCACTAGAGCAAGGCTGTTGCATTAGTGGAGATTTAGTGAGTCAACTCCTCCGTAAGCTCCAGTAAATCAAATGGGCCTGTTCTAGTTATGACTTACTATACTAAAGTAGTAACTAGAGTAAGCTCATTTGAATCAGTGGAATCTACAGAGGAGTTGACTCACCAAATTCCCACTGATTCAGTTGGCCTACTCTACTGTGACTTACTACTTTGAGCAAAAGGATTTCAGCCTTTGAATGATTAGTAAAAACTGTGCCATAGATCCAGTTGCTTGTCTCAGCAAAAGTAGATCTACTGAATGAATAGAAACACTTAATGTAAATTCTTTTGATTTAGTAGATATAAAAATAATAATTGTGTGCTGTCAAGTCAATTCCAACTCATGGTGACTCTTTCCAGGGTTTTCTTTCAGAAGTGGTTTACCATTCCCTTCTTCTGGGGGCACCCTGGGACTGTGCAGCTTGCCCAAGGCCGCACAGCCTGTCTCTTCTAGAGTGCACAGTGCAGAATCAAACTCCTAACCTCTGTCTCTGCAGCCAGTTATCTAAACTACTGAGCTATCCAGCCAGCTCTTAGTGAGTCTACTGTACTTGAATTTAAACCTATATTTTTCTTTATACTGTAATCTCACTGATTGTATCTTTACAATGTAGGTCTAATATTGGACAATGGAACTTGTATTTTTCCATCTGATTGCCCTTGTGTTTATCATGGGACAGCTTTTCCTGTAGGGTCAACAATTGAGCAGGAATGTAGTCATTGGTATGTAATCTTATCTCTTTCTTTGCTTTCTGGATCCTTGTAGTTACTTTGTTTTAAAGCATTCGTTTTGTTATGTTACTGTTGGGAAAGTGTTTTGTTTTGATAGTCATGTTCATATAGAAAATAGCAAAAGTACTACAATTTGAGATTGTATTATCGAAAGGTTTGAAATGTTGTCCTTCTCTCTCACCAAATGAATGTAGTTAACATATTATCTATTTTTGTTCAGCATTTGTATTGCTGGCATTTGGAACTGCACAGAACATGACTGCTCAGGTAATAGGGTTTTTTGTACCTGTGAAATATGCTATAGGATATATTGTAACAAAGAATGAGATTCAGAGCAGATCTTGAACATTTATTTATTTATTTATTTATTTATTTATTTATTTATTTATTTATTTATTTATTTATTTATTTATTTATTTATTTATTTATTTATTTATTTATTTATACACAAAAATGTTTGTAAACTTTCCAAGCCTGCAGAATAATCCTATGCATTTTTACTCAGATGTTAAGTTCTGCTGAGTTGATGTGTGTATATTGATAGCCAATTTACTTAATTCCATCCCAAGAGAACAGTTGAACTCGAAAGGTCAGGTTCAGGTACTTCAGTATCTTTCAAAGGCATTAATAGTTGGATAGTATAGATCACTTTACAGCAGAACACATGCTCTCATGTGGAAAGTGAGATGTCAGAATGTGTGGCTGACCTTCTTGGGTTTACTTCTTTTGTTTAACTGTCAGTTAAATCAGGATGTCTACAATTAATCATAGTTTTCTGTTTTATTTAGAGTAGCAAACTATGATTGTTAGCTTTGGAATAAGTCAGGATCTTATATTAGCTTGATTGGATTGATAACCATGATTGGATGGATTGGCCAGCAACAGCTTACTAGAACATTTCTTTAACTGCTGCTTATGCACTAGGAGGATGGAAGGGGCTCATCATATGGGCAAAATGCTCATTTGTCAATTACCTCATTAAACTGGGAATAAATTTTGTGAGCTGGGCCACCAACTTCAGGAGCCATGGAATCCAAATTCCTTTTGAGGTCTCTTACTTGGCACATAAGAGAACTATCAGAGTGTTCTGAGTGGTTTTGTCTAGCTGCAGTCTGTAGCTCATCTGAGAAGCAAGGAAGACCTTGGGAAATTTTAACATTACAGTTATCCTGCAATTGCTGCTATTGCTTGTTATACCATCATCTAGGTTTTTGTGAAACAGTTTTTCTCTTTATCTGTCCTTCCTTTAAGCTGAATGTTCAATTGTTGGTGATTCTCATTTCACAACTTTTGATGGTCGCCATTACACCTTCCTTGGGATCTGCCAGTACATTCTGGTTAAAGGAACTGGGAAAGACAAATTCACAATCACATTACAAAAATCTCCCTGTGGTCAGGTGAGGTCATACTTAAATTAAATTTTTATAGTGATAAATGTCCACATATCTTATGCTTATAGAGACAATAATTTAAGAAGATTAGCAATAATAAATCACTCTTTTTCTAAATAGTAGGAATCTACCTGGTCATGACTTGGGTTTGATTTCACTTGTAAGGATTGTCTTTTGTAAAATCAATTGCACCTTTTTACTAAGATTAAGTCTACAGAGCTTTTCATTCATGCACGATTACACAGGCATCTACAGATCTGGTTACAGTCTGAGCAGGTGTCTTAGACAGATAAATGCTTTTGGTGACAGGGCTGAACAGGCAGGATATACTGCCAACCAGACAAGAGGTGTTTGAAGCTGACTGAGATATTTATTTGATATTTTGTAAGCTCTCTCATTTCTTGGAACAATAAATCTAGGAGCTCAGAGAACATTAAAATATACATAGTAGGGCTTTTCAGCTCGTAGTACTGTAGCTACTTAAATCCAGAATATACTAAATTTGTTGCAGCATGAACCTTTCTTTTTTAAGGAAGTCCTGCTTTGAGTTTAATTTATATTTTACCTAACTGAAGTGATTGCATTCTGAGAGCAAAAGGAAAGGCATTTAATTTATAACCTCTAAATGATGTTGATTAAATACTGTTCTTCTCCTCTCTAACTCTGTTAGACCATTGGCTAGATGAGAGTATAAGTCCTGACTCTGGCATTTACATTATTTTTCCAATCACCTCTTGCTTTCATCACAGGGTTTGTGTGAGGGCAAAATTGGGGAAGTGGGAATATTGCCCTGTGTTCTTGGAAAAAGCATAATAAAATGCAATATAGTTTGAGAAAATGAAATGCAATACAATTTAATAAAACATTGTCTATATCTTTTTTTTGTGGATCCCCCCCACGACTGCAGCACACCCATAATCTTGACCATGCATGTATTCAGTCTATAACACTAATTCTTGAAGATGACATAAGCAAGCAAGTGACTCTGAAACGGGGTGGTGAAATTCAGTATGGTTATTCCAACCAGGGCTTTAATTTCAACGGTAAGACATCTCTAACATATTTCCCACATGTTTCATATTTCTTACACCTTGGTGCTTCAAAGTGGTATTAATATATTATGTTAGTATATTCTAATCAAACTGGGTATTGTATTGACAGGGAAATATGTACATATATATATATGTTCTCATGGAGTCTGAAGGACAAATTAAATCATTAAAAAATGAACTAATATCAGTCTATCATCAATATAGCCTCACACTGAAGCTTCTTCAGTTTCGGTACTACAAAACTGACCATGTTAAATAAATGGAGGGCACTGAAATATAAGCATAAAGACTTCACTCATCATGTTATCTGAATTAGGTAGTTGACCCATGACTCTGGAATTCTATATGCAAAAGTGAAAATGCAAGAAATTAAGCAAGGTTTCTAGCCCTCAGCCCTATCTTGTTACAGTTAATTGATATATTATGCTCGATTAGCATATGTCCTTCACTCATTGGTGAACTGAATTAGCTTGTTGGCTTATGTCTCTAACATTCTGTACAGGAAAGCAAAAATACATCCAAGGTTGGGGATCACTGCTGTACAGGAAAGCAAAAATACACAAAATTAAACATGATTATTTATAGGCTTCTCTTATCACAGGGCATATATCATGCTCTGGGCACTTTGACAAGAGACTACATTGTGAAAATATTTTAAACATCTTCACCATATGTACATATAGCTTCAAGGTAATCTATTTAAAGTGTAAGGCTGGATTAACTGCATAGTTCTTCTCACCCATTCTCACCCAGTTTCCCATTTTAGGAGCAAACTCCCAGAGGATATGGAGGAAGTCATCATAATTTTCAGTGTTTCTTTTGTTGTTGTTCGTAGACAGGATGATGTACAAAATGTTAACTACCTCTAAAATTAATGTTTATAACATGTGGCAGACATAATTTTGTGGATTTAGTTGTGTGGATTTTGAAAGTTTACCATTTGTACGTATCCCAGAACAGTGAGTGAGAATCTGAACATGATACTTCAGTATCTCTGTAATTCAAAATATATTATTTTATATTGTTGTTATCATTTTTATATATTTATTTGTCATATTTATGGCCACCTTTCTCCCCCAATAAGGGGACTCAAGGTGGCATTAAAAAGAATTAAAAACACAGTAATTTATATACAAAAAATTAAATGGAAAAGCTGATTAGAATAACCTGAATGATTAAATATATATAAAACATTATAGACTGCAGGTGCACTTGCCCTTTGAACATAAGTGCTCCTATTCTGGTGGCGGAAGAGGGAAGTCATTTTCCTTTATTTCTAGTGGTTCTAAAATCACCTTTGCAGGCTGAAGCACCCCCTGTATAAGTTCCAAAGGGTCCCCTGAAAGAGCCTTTCAAAATGGAATACAAGGTCTGCAGAGAAAAGAGCAGGAAATGTCTCTCCTTCTTCCAGTAGGAATATTCTGGCCTAAGACCAATATCTGTGTGTATGTAATTATCTTTCTGTGAAGTCTTACAGATTAGGAACATTGCTTGATTTTTGTTTTGGGATTTCTCCCTTCTTATATTATATGTAGGATATGTTGAAGTGCAGAATCTGTCTTCATTGTTTGTGCAGCTGAAAACAAAATTTGGTTTAAGAATCCAGTTTGCTAAAGATGGCGGAAGAGTGTATATTCAGCTAAGCACTGATTGGAAAAGAAGAACTTTGGGTCTATGTGGAACTTACAATGGAAACCTGAGAGATGATTTTCTGTAAGTTTGATTTCAACGGTTACATATATCTTCATTTATTCAGCCTTCTAGTCAAGTTGCAGTTTGTGAGTAATGTTATATCTTGAAATGCTAGATAGCACATAACACACAGAGGCTATAGTTAGCCAACTTATCTTCACATGGCAAACAAAGCAATGGAGATATTCCCAGAAGGAAATCTTTGCCTTCATATGGTAGCTATGGGAAAAAACGGTATATGTTGGTTCCCAGACTGTGAGTCAGTGATGATGTTTTCTATGCATAAGATTCAGTTTTTTCATGCTGCAGCACATGTGAGCTAAAATTCTGTTGGGTCAGTTCCACCTGAAATTAAAACCAGGCAAAATGGCTAGTAACAGAGGGCAAGTAACTGACCCAGAAGATTGGGTATAATCAGAAATCCATTTTATAGAATGCAAACTCATATTCTTTTTCCTTTTATCTCCATGGTAACCAGTTTATTCTAAGCCAACTCATGACTCTCCTTCTGTCACCTCAGAAACACTCTGCACTCTCTCACCATTATAGGGAGACAAATATCCATTCTCTCTGTCTCCTTGCAATACGTATACGGTACCTCCTCCACATCACACGTATTTTCCTCTTCTCCATACTGCAAGTGAATACGCACACACTGTTTTTTCTTTCCAGGTCTTTCTAAAGCCCATCCTCTCTCTGGATCATTCAGAAAGCTTTTCTCTTTCTCTCCTTTCCACACACGCATGTGTTCCTAGTCTATTCAGATATAAAAACACATAAGCCATACCAACCTGTTCTCTTTTCTGTTTGGGAGTGGAGGTGCAGTGGGCCCACTAGAGATGAAAGCTCTGACTTACCACAGCCATTTTACTTTTATGTGAAAGTCTCTGAGCCTTGTTTGCAGACCAGAGGCACAGATGGGAAATGAAGATGGCAGCAGGAGGTTCTTACTTTGCTTTGAAGAGAACCCAGGCTGCTGGTAATAGTTTCATTTTATTTTAATGGAAATTCAGGTGTAGGATGGCGCCTCAGCAGGAACAGAACTAGGCGTTTGGCAATAGATTGCTGCAGACACATAACACAACTGCCTATGTTTGGGTAGAGTGGGTGGCATTTAAATTAAATAAATAAATAAATAAATAAATAAAGTAAGTAAGTAAGTAAGTAAGTAAGTATCGGCTCTGGTTTGCTGGATTTCTGATGTGTTAACTCTGTAAAGTGATTGGTAAAAGCTGTGGGGCAGCTGTGCTATGCCCTCCCATCTACATAACAGGCTGTGGGATTAATGTCAGTGACACTCTGCATAGTCTCTCTTTCATCTGATTACTGGTTCCCACAGTTCCATTGTGTCACAAGACCCATGTTCCATTAGCATAGTCTTCCATACAGGCATATCTGCAGATACTGAACTAAAAAGATTATCCCAGATGACAGTCATGTTCTCTTGCACAGTATGATTCTTCTATTTAATTGTGTTTTTTCTCCCCATATCCCCCCAGTTCTCCAGCAGGAATGATCGAAGGAACTCCACAGCTGCATGCTAATGCATGGAAAGTTTCATCCGCATGCCATGTTCCTGTGAATGTCCCTGTGGTTGATCCTTGTAATATTAATCAACAAAATGGTGCGTTTTTATGTTTTAAATTTTGATGTAGATTTGCCATAATTCTTTTGTTATATCATGCTTACTTTCTGGTTTCTGGGATCAGATGTATTGTTACTGCATATTAATTGGGTTGATCTGTTCTTAAGGTTCACAAGAGTTACTCTGGCAAAAGTAAATTGTTTAAAACCCATTGGTTTAAATGGCTGTTGAATAGACTTTCTGTTCTTTGGGTTTGTCAAAGAATCAATCCATTCTGAGATCAGTAGAATAAGGATTATACCCTTATATTTGCATCTCTTGGAATTTGTGCAGCTTGTAGTTTTTGTAAGGTGTGTCTTACAATCTTTGCCATTTATTTTTTTATTGAGTGCTTTAATAGCATTCGCACTGGTCTAAGGGAAGTGTTGTTTTTCTTTAGCTGGGTATGCATCCCAGTGTGATATCATCAATCAAGAACTCTTTGCTCCATGCCATCTATACATCAGTCCAGGATTATACTACCAGCTGTGCCGCTTTGATGCTTGCAAGTGTGGGAGCAGCTGTTTGTGCAATGCCCTTGCACATTATGCCCATGTATGTGGAAAACATGGTGTTACTATTGACTTCAGATCTCATGTCTCATACTGTGGTAAGTTACAGATCACACAGAAAACTGAAAAACTGCTAGGATGGATTTGTTTTTGCAAACAGAACAGAATGCTCAGACTCTCACATTTCTGTCTGTATTAATAACATCCTTACAGAATATTTAAATAGCTCTGTCTTCTCTTTAATGTCTGAATTGGTTAACTTCTTAAGTGAGGAAGATAAAACTATGTTGGACAGGAACTGAGAAGTAACTCACAATTAACAAGAATAAATATATGTGTATATGAGGAAGCAAGCATTTTAAGGTATCATGAAACTGGGTGAGATTAGAAGAGGTAAATGTGCCAGGTTTTTAACCTTTGGAAAGGGCCTTCTGTGACTGGTTTAACTACAGGCATGGTGGGGCAGGTACACAAATATGCACACACATTCCATGGAGAACTATGTTTGTCATTGGAATAACAATACTGATGTAAGCCAAGTACTGTATTCTATCTGTTTGGATACCTGACAGAGGAAAAAGAATTAAGACTGTGATTTAATACATCAACATTGGCAAGGTAGGTCACAGTCCTATTGATATTTGTGTAAGGTCTGTGTAACTTGCCATGGCTAATTGCAGGTATATATCAGTTGCATGTTTGGTTACAAGCCTGATTGTGCAAACAAAGCGTGCACTGGTGCCTTTCATTTAGCAAGTTACACAAGCCGTATGGGGACACTAACTGAAGTCTGGCCTTAGATTTAAAACACTCAGCTACAGACACGCTGACATTCTTGCACATCAAGTGCTTCTTTGATCTTTCTTAATGGTATTTATTTTGTTCCTGACACTGAAACAGTGTATGGTGTCTCCCCAGGAGTGGTGTGCAGAAGTGGCATGCTGTATCACCCATGTTCTTCTTTCTGTGAGCACTCTTGTTCTTCCCTTTCTGCTCTGGATGTTTGTGATCACAATTGTGCTGAAGGATGTAATTGCCCTGATGGAAAATACTTTGAAGACTCCATCAGTTTTTGTGTCCCAATGTAAGCTGTGTTTAATTTATTTAATTGCATTTTCTAGAATTAAATCCTAGCATCACTGTTCACAACATTTGCCTTTATTTTTCCCAACTGGTGGTTTAAAATCATAGAACTGAAGTGAACCTTTTGGAAGTACTGTTTGCTTACCAGTCCTCTGCTGGTTGGTGAATGTTACTGAGACCACTGTGTGACATGATGCGGTAGTAGGAGTGCCTTAGTAAAATCCCTGCAGAGGCAACAGTAAGGCAAATGGCATGGCACCTTAGAAGCCAACCCTCATCAACAGCATACATGACTGTTTGCCAATCTGCCCTGCTTCTGACAGGAAGGTGGCTGGCATTACTGTGGCATGCATGTGTGTGTGTGCGCACGCACGTGCACCTGCCTTGATACATTGCTATGTTGGTAAAAGTATGTCACCGGAGGGTTGCTGCCATTACATTACTGGTGGGTAATATTTTTTAAAAAAATTCTATGAGAAGATACATTGAACTGTTGATATGACAATGTCATGGGGGGCGGATTGCCAGTATTGCCATACAGATATCCTATGTCCATTGTATGCAATGCATTTCTACAGCAGCCGGTGCAACAGTGGACACTTTCCTAAACAGAAACCCCTTCCTCTAATTTTCAGCCCCGCGAATGTCGAAAGGAAGGAAAGAGTCCGGCCAGCTGTGGTGGTGATATTCATATTCATTTCCCCTTAGGAGGTGAAAATGAATATCAGATCTCTACTCAAAATTTCCTCCATTGTTGTACCAGTATTTTTTTCAGTAACTTGCACAAACCTGTGCAATACTAGCATCATTTGCCTTTGAGAAGCAAAGCATGTGTGTAGTTAAAAGAAAAAAAGATTCAAAGTCTGTTAATTAAAGCAATGTCATTTAGTGCATGTGCTATTTCCACTGAGGAGCTATTTTGCACAGTTTTGCTCACTTCGTGCAAGAAATCCCTCTTCATTGTCCTTTTGTTCTTTGGTTGAGAGTGCCACAATATACCTTATCCTCTCACAGAGGTATGACAATAACTTTGCATTTTCTGCAAAGATGAGACAGCAAGGATTGAGGTACATCTTGTGACTAGAAAGAAACATTCCTTTTTCACAGCTGCAGTGTACCCCTATATACATTCCTAAACTAAAGCAAGAAGTAGGTCAAATGTCTGTGTAACAATGAATACGCAAGTCAGTGGTGATTTTGAAGGCTATGTCTACTGTTACAATTAAAATATTATGAACTAATCATTATTGTATCATCACCTCTGTAATGCTTTATTGTATCTGCACTGATGAATTTTATTTCATCAGGGCTAGCTGCTGGTGTTACTATAAAGGTAGAAGTTTTCAGCCAGGTGAAATCCTGCCCACACCACTGGGCACATGGTAAGTCCTAGTATTAAGAGTTTCATCTTTTATATTTTTTATTGAGTGCTTTAATAGCATTCGCACTGGTCTAAGGGAAGTGTTGTTTTTCTTTAGCTGGGTATGCATCCCAGTGTGATATCATCAATCAAGAACTCTTTGCTCCATGCCATCTATACATCAGTCCAGGATTATACTACCAGCTGTGCCGCTTTGATGCTTGCAAGTGTGGGAGCAGCTGTTTGTGCAATGCCCTTGCACATTATGCCCATGTATGTGGAAAACATGGTGTTACTATTGACTTCAGATCTCATGTCTCATACTGTGGTAAGTTACAGATCACACAGAAAACTGAAAAACTGCTAGGATGGATGTGTTTTTGCAAACAGAACAGAATCTCAGACTCTCACATTTCTGTCTGTATTAATAAAATCCTTACAGAATATTTAAATAGCTCTGTCTTCTCTTTAATGTCTGAATTGGTTAACTTCTTAAGTGAGGAAGATAAAACTATGTTGGACAGGAACTGAGAAGTAACTCACAATTAACAAGAATAAATATATGTGTATATGAGGAAGCAAGCATTTTAAGGTATCATGAAACTGGGTGAGATTAGAAGAGGTAAATGTGCCAGTTTTTTAACCTTTGGAAAGGGCCTTCTGTGACTGGTTTAACTACAGGCATGGTGGGGCAGGTACATAAATATGCACACACATTCCATGGAGAACTATGTTTGTCATTGGAATAACAATACTGATGTAAGCCAAGTACTGTATTCTATCTGTTTGGATACCTGACAGAGGAAAAAGAATTAAGACTGTGATTTAATACATCAACATTGGCAAGGTAGGTCACAGTCCTATTGATATTTGTGTAAGGTCTGTGTAACTTGCCATGGCTAATTGCAGGTATATATCAGTTGCATGTTTGGTTACAAGCCTGATTGTGCAAACAAAGCGTGCACTGGTGCCTTTCATTTAGCAAGTTACACAAGCCGTATGGGGACACTAACTGAAGTCTGGCCTTAGATTTAAAACACTCAGCTACAGACACGCTGACATTCTTGCACATCAAGTGCTTCTTTGATCTTTCTTAATGGTATTTATTTTGTTCCTGACACTGAAACAGTGTATGGTGTCTCCCCAGGAGTGGTGTGCAGAAGTGGCATGCTGTATCACCCATGTTCTTCTTTCTGTGAGCACTCTTGTTCTTCCCTTTCTGCTCTGGATGTTTGTGATCACAATTGTGCTGAAGGATGTAATTGCCCTGATGGAAAATACTTTGAAGACTCCATCAGTTTTTGTGTCCCAATGTAAGCTGTGTTTAATTTATTTAATTGCATTTTCTAGAATTAAATCCTAGCATCACTATTCACAACATTTGCCTTTATTTTTCCCAACTGGTGGTTTAAAATCATAGAACTGAAGTGAACCTTTTGGAAGTACTGTTCGCTTACCAGTCCTCTGCTGGTTGGTGAATATTACTGAGACCACAGTGTGACATGATGCGGTAGTAGGAGTGCCGTAATTTATTTAATTGCATTTTCTAGAATTAAATCCTAGCATCACTATTCACAACATTTGCCTTTATTTTTCCCAACTGGTGGTTTAAAATCATAGAACTGAAGTGAACCTTTTGGAAGTACTGTTCGCTTACCAGTCCTCTGCTGGTTGGTGAATATTACTGAGACCACAGTGTGACATGATGCGGTAGTAGGAGTGCCGTAGTAAAATCCCTGCAGAGGCAACAGTAAGGCAAATGGCATGGCACCTTAGAAGCCAACCCTCATCAACAGCATACATGACTGTTTGCCAATCTGCCCTGCTTCTGACAGGAAGGTGGCTGGCATTACTGTGGCATGCATGTGTGTGTGTGCGCACGCACGTGCACCTGCCTTGATACATTGCTATGTTGGTAAAAGTATGTCACCGGAGGGTTGCTGCCATTACATTACTGGTGGGTAATATTTTTAAAAAAATTATACGGGAAGATACATTGAACTGTTGATATGACAATGTCATGGGGGGCGGATTGCCAGTATTGCCATACAGATATCCTATGTCCATTGTATGCAATGCATTTCTACAGCAGCCGGTGCAACAGTGGACACTTTCCTAAACAGAAACCCCTTCCTCTAATTTTCAGCCCCGCGAATGTCGAAAGGAAGGAAAGAGTCCGGCCAGCTGTGGTGGTGATATTCATATTCATTTCCCCTTAGGAGGTGAAAATGAATATCAGATCTCTACTCAAAATTTCCTCCATTGTTGTACCAGTATTTTTTTCAGTAACTTGCACAAACCTGTGCAATACTAGCATCATTTGCCTTTGAGAAGCAAAGCATGTGTGTAGTTAAAAGAAAAAAAGATTCAAAGTCTGTTAATTAAAGCAATGTCATTTAGTGCATGTGCTATTTCCACTGAGGAGCTATTTTGCACAGTTTTGCTCACTTCGTGGAAGAAATCCCTCTTCATTGTCCTTTTGTTCTTTGGTTGAGAGTGCCACAATATACCTTATCCTCTCACAGAGGTATGACAATAACTTTGCATTTTCTGCAAAGATGAGACAGCAAGGATTGAGGTACATCTTGTGACTAGAAAGAAACATTCCTTTTTCACAGCTGCAGTGTACCCCTATATAGGAGGTGAAAATGAATATCAGATCTCTACTCAAAATTTCCTCCATTGTTGTACCAGTATTTTTTTCAGTAACTTGCACAAACCTGTGCAATACTAGCATCATTTGCCTTTGAGAAGCAAAGCATGTGTGTAGTTAAAAGAAAAAAAGATTCAAAGTCTGTTAATTAAAGCAATGTCATTTAGTGCATGTGCTATTTCCACTGAGGAGCTATTTTGCACAGTTTTGCTCACTTCGTGCAAGAAATCCCTCTTCATTGTCCTTTTGTTCTTTGGTTGAGAGTGCCACAATATACCTTATCCTCTCACAGAGGTATGACAATAACTTTGCATTTTCTGCAAAGATGAGACAACAAGGATTGAACTACAGTACATCTCTGCTAATGCCAATAATCTTCTTGTGACTAGAAAGAAAAATTCCTTCTTCACAGCTGCAGTGTACCCCTATATGCATTCCTAAACTAAAGCAAGAAGTAGGTCAAATGTCTGTGTAACAATGAATACGCAAGTCAGTGGTGATTTTGAAGGCTATGTCTACTGTTACAATTAAAGTATTATGAACTAATCATTATTGTATCATCAGGTCTGTAATGCTTTATTGTATCTGCACTGATGAATTTTATTCCATCAGGGCTAGCTGCTGGTGTTACTATAAAGGTAGAAGTTTTCAGCCAGGTGAAATCCTGCCCACACCACTGGGCACATGGTAAGTCTTAGTATTCAGAGTTTCATCTTTTATACTGTACATTTCATGTGGTAGCGCTGAATATGCAGTTTGGTTTTCATCATGTCATTTTGAATCTGTCGTTCTCAATGTATGGTCAGTTGTTTCTGGAGCTTGAAATTTAGTATGCTTTCCCAATGTATGCTTTCCTGCTGTTGGCTGATTTTGCTAACTTTATTTTTCTTTAATAAAACTGCAATGTATTCTGAAGCAATCATTGCTATTCTCTAAACCAGTGGTCCCCTTGGGCCTCCAGATGTTCTTGGACTACAACTCCCAGAAGCCTCCACCATCACCTCTGCTGGCCAGGATTTCTGGGAAGTGAAGTCCAAGAACATCTGGAGGCCCAAGGTTGGGGACCACTGCTCTAAACTGTGAACTGCTTTGCTTGCTTGGATGCACTGGACTCCAGTTCACAAGACCACTTCTTGTAGTATGGAGGCACTGTTGTGACAACTGTGGCCTGCCCAGGAGCAAGAATTAGGCTTTTGGTTCTGGTGAACTTACAATGGTATGCCATCAGTTTATGTGCACACCAGTTTTTATCATGTGAGATCTCAATATGAACTTGATTAATAATGTGGTTTTAGGCAGGGTCATCCTAGATCTTAGCTAGTGACATGATAAATCAATATAATGTTTTTGCTGTTTCACATTAAGTTATTATCACATCCCTATGTTATTTAAATATACATTACAGTCTCAAAAATGATGATTGTTGCTGTTCTTATAATTTTTATGTAGTTAAAATGTTTTCTTAATGTGCATTGCTTTAGCCAGTGTCTAAATGGAACAATGAGATGTACTGAAGCTGTTGCAGTTCCTGCAGGTAATTCCTTTTGTTGTTTCAAATAAGAATTCTTAGAGTATTTTTTTAAGTCAGATATTTTTATTTCAGGGACTGCATGGGCTAAAGAAAGGCATTGAGTTTAAATATAGATTCCGTTCTCTCATGCCTACCAACTGTTGAGTGGTCTTAAGTACCGGTAATTGTTCTTCACTCTCATTTTCACTTCTCTGTAGACTGAGGAATCTCAGTCATCTTAATATTTTAGGAAAAACTATCTATCCAAAGTGGTAAACTGGCAACACCAGCTGGAATGTTAGCTAGGTGCCCAGCAGCCTTGAAACATCAGCCAATCTTTTTTGTCCTGTCCTAAGTGGGACTTCCATGTAGTAAGCTTTGAATTATAACCTAGGAGTGGATTTGCATAAATACATCAATTGTCCAGTACAGTGGGGTCTTGACTTAAGAACGGCTTGAGTTAAGAACATTTTGACTTAAGAACTGCTCTCATAGGAAAATATTGACTTAAGTACTTAGATTTGAGTTAAGAACTGAAAAAAAACCACGTGGGAGGCAGGGAAAGTGCAAAATGTGAACTTTCAGTTAACTATTGGCCAGTGAAAAGGGTGCCTGTCTGCTTCCTCACTCCTCCCAGGGTTTAGAGAGTGGATTGGGAGACAGTCTTCAGACTGCCTGATACTGGACTGCCTGGACTGTATTTAGAACTTTTTGACTTGAGAACTGCCTTCCAATACGGATTAAGTTCTCAAGTCAAGACCCCACAGTATCCTGTTTATCTATCTTACTTGTATAATGCACTGTTGTGCAACTGGTTAGGTTTTTTTGTTCTGAAATTGTGGAGATTGGTATCCTCTGTGTTTATGTGTAGGCATAAATTACATTCATTTTAGTAACAGAAACTTCAACTTGTATGCTGGAGATCATAAGGAGTGTTAGGGGAGTGTTTCTATCTTACTTGTATAATGCACTGTTGTGCAACTGGTTAGGTTTTTTTGTTCTGAAATTGTGGAGATTGGTATCCTCTGTGTTTATGTGTAGACATAAATTTTTAGTAACAGAAACTTCAGCTTGTATGCTGGAGATCATAAGGAGTGTTACATCAGGGGAGTGTTACATTCCACAATCCTGAATAGGATACAGGTCAAAGTGACTAAGTAGATGTTAGGGTATTAGCTTGAGGCTTGTGTATAGATGTAGTACTTTCAGAAACTTGAGTTGCAAGAGCCCAGCTACCAGTGGTTGTCAAGGAAATGCCTAATAGTAACTTCAAATACTTTTCAAGGTATAATCAGACTTCAGTAACAATATACATAAACAAATTTAATGTAATTGTAAGAACAAGTTCTTATGATTACATATAAAGCCCTAAACGGTTTAGGACCTCGATATCTTGTAGAGCGCCTTCTCCCACCCAGTTCTGCAAGAGTCACTTGTTCCAGCCAGGCCAGGCAGCTAAGGGGCCTAACGCCGAGGGAAATCCAGAAGGAAAGAACAAGGAGTAGGGCCTCCTCGGCAGTGGCCCCTTGCCTTTGGAATAACTTGCCAGTGGAGATCCGCCTGGCTCCCTCTCTGGGTGTTTTCAGGAATAAACTTAAAACCTGACTATTTGGGCAGGCTTTCCCTCCTGCCGTATTTTAACTGCCATATCTTAATTACTTATACTTCGCCATCTTGGACTTATATGTTTTTGATTTTATTGTTTTTAAATTTGTAAACTGCCCAGAGTAGACCCTTGGTCTAGATGAGTGGAATAGAAATCTAATAAATAGATAAATAAATAGATAGATAAATAAATAATTTACCATATTTCTCTGTGTTTAAAATCTTTGGATTAAAAATTGAGGGTCATATACACGGAAGGAAGCTGAGGAGATAACAAAAACAAGTGGAGGGGGGGAATGGATCAAAACGATCCTGCTACGCTTTGCTACTTTCCTCCTCCATTTGCTAAGCCCCATGGAGCTTAGCAAAAGGAGGGGGAAAGCATTGATCAAAGGGCTGCAGCATCACTTTGATCCCTGCTTTCGCCCTCCTTTTGCTAAGCCCCGGGCTTAGGAAGTGGCAGGTAAAGTAGCAATCACATTTCCAAATTGGAGTTAGAAAAGTGGGGTCATCTTATCCATTGGGGCTTCTTATAAACAGAAAAATATGGTACTTTATTTTTAATATTTAATCACATTTTAAAAATTATAATTTCTTGCAATCTAGTTTAGTGGACCACTTAATAACCAATCTAAAATGATAGATATCTGCAAATCTGCAAATTTCACATTTCACATAAAAACAAACTTTAATGTAGACAAGGCTTTTTGATCAGTGCTGAATTTGAGATTAATATATCCGATGACAGTATTCATGTATGCTTTGCATAATTCTGGCAGTCCTGAATGCTTTTGGACTGAATTGACTCTATGCTCTGTAAACAAAAGTTATGGAAGAGATGTAAAGAATAAATTCAGCACTACATTGTGTTAAGCTTATCATGTTGAACTTACTGAAAACAGGAACTGCTGAAAATAAGCATTTTAATACCAGCTGACTTTGAGACCAGCTGACTTATCTCATATAGTTTGCATTTCACATCTGCAGTTCACACATGCAGTGAAGAAAAGATATACTATGACTGCCAATCTCCTGTTCCCGGTTTGCCATCTGCTGGAGTAAGCTGTGAACTGTCTTGTGCAAACCTCGCCATGAACTTTACCTGTACCCCTTCTCCACCATGTGTGAGTGGTTGCATCTGTCCTCCTGGGTAAGTGCGCCTAAGAGCTAGATTTCTGGACCAAGAAATTGCAGTAGGGATCTGATTAGTGTTCCTCCCTCTGATCAACTTTTCTCACACTTGAGAAATAGCAGGAGCTGGTATTGTAGGTGTCCTTTAAATAAGAGAGTAGTAGAAACTGATAGTTCTTTGTAACCCTTTTAAAATTTAAAAATCTATAAGGAGAATAACCAGAAATAAGATTTCCAGACCACATTTAGCTGTCATGACCTTGACTTCATAAGATAATGTTTGGCAAGGAGTAGGAAGAAGGGATAGGAACAGGTGTTTTTCTTGTGCACATGGCCCCATTGCAAGAGATGGATGGATGGATGGATGGATGGAATTTAAAAATTGAAAATGGGGAAGTCTTCTATTAAGTCTAATTTCCCATCTTATCAAAATTATTTTCAGACCAATGCTAGATAAAACCTTTGGTGTTGTCATTTGATCACTTTCCCCTTTCACAAGCAAGCATGGAACGGGTGGATGTCGAGGTGGGTGGAGCTGCACTTGATTGAGTTTGCAGTGCTGGTGCAGGAAGGCCTATAACAGGGACAGTATTAAGTGGGCAGTTGATTTTGATCAGGAAAATTGTATGCACACTTGTATGTTTGTGCACACGATGGATGGATGGATGGCCCTCTTAAACTACTGCAGTCCCTCTTAAACTCCCTACACATATATGACAGTTTTTTTTTTCCAAAATGAAAATAAATGGGAGACCCAATCATTTTATTTAGAGTTCCAGCTTGTATGGAGAGCTTACATATGAACAAAGTCTCTTTTTTCTTCAGACACATTGGTCTCCATGTGGAGAAAGTGACCATGGAAAAGGGAGAAGCTAGGTGCTCTTCTTTAAGCATTTTCTAAAGAAGCAGCTGTGTTAGCTCCCTCTGTGAAGAGCTGATTAACATATCAACTTGGATCAGTAGCTGCCATCACTTTCCCCTCCCTCATCCGTCCGAGATGAACAAGACTCCTACTTATGCAGCAGATTGGAGGAACTCTGTTGTGGGATGTGTCCCGTTCCCTCCGTCTGGAAAGTACAATATACAAAATGAAAAGCCCTCCCCCAAAAGGACCCCAAGCCAAATGGCTTGCTTTCTCCTTCCTTAACTGGGAATTCTCTGGCATGTGAACCAAACTATGGACAGATCTTTAGGAAGGGTCTAAATTTTATTACGTCTTAAAAGAGTTACAACATATTTCAAAGCAAAAGGCAGATTGGAGAGGCAAACAACTATGCAGGTTTAAAAAGAATGGCAGAAGTCTCTGATCATCCTGTTGATCTTCATGGGACAGAGAGTCAACATCTAATTCATACACCCACTCCAATGCAGGCCTTGCAAAAATTACTTTTTTGGACTACAACTCCCAGAATCCTCATACTACTACTGAGGGATTATGGGAGCTTTTTTTAAAAAGCTTTTCCAAGCTCTCTTCCTTTATGTTGCATGAGGCTTGTACCAGGCAAGCAGGCAAAGGACTGTGGCCTGAATATTTGTTTGTTCTTTTTTAAATTTAATTTACACAATAATTTTTCAAGATCTTCACTGTTATATTATATCAAATTTTGATCTGATTCATAGACTGTTTAAATGACCATTTGATTCAAAGCCTGGCAATACAGAATTTCTCTTTCTTTGAAAGGATAATAACAAATGAATATAGGTGACTTTCTATTTTAATTTTGTTTGTTTGTCACATCAAAGGATGGCAGAGCATAAAGGAAAATGTTACGTGCCTGACAGTTGTCCATGTGTCTGGAAAGATTGGGAATATATGTCAGGTGAAGTAATATCTACCCCGTGTTATACATGGTATGTGATCAATTATTGTTTTTTTAATAGTAAATTTTAATATTATAAGTACATGGTGAGATCACATATTTGTCTTTTCATTCATGTAATATGATTAATAATGATTGGATTGACACTGTAAAACTTTGTGAAACAAGTGAATCTAAATAAAGGGCATAGTACTTTTAAAATATATTAATTGGGGAAGAATGAGTCTTCTTTAAAAATTGAACTATGTCAAATATTTTTACACTGTTGAGTCTGCCTTCCTCCGGATTGAAACCCAGTGTCTGAAGGTGCAGATGCAACTTTAACAATATTGTGGAGAGAACTGAAATATGCTTTGTAACCAAAGTCTGCTTTGTCCTTGTATGCAATAAATGTCACTCTCAAGTGATAATACAACAACAACAACAAAAACAAAACAGTATAGCAGTGCATTAAACCGTGTAAAACTAGTTATTGATACTCTGTTTTTTAAATACCACAAGTGTCACAAGTGGTCTGGATGCAATACATGGCAACTGAAACGTCAAATGTCCCTCACTATGTCCACTCTAATGACATTGGAAATGCTAGGAAAGCTTTACTTTTTTTATTAATACAGTATAGCCAGGGCAAGCTTGTTGCAAAGTCAGAAAAGGGCACAATTTACAATTCTGCAGGTCATTATATTCGCGAAGGCTTTCACGGCCGGGATCTAATCGTTGTTCTGGGTTTTTCGTGCTCTTTGGCCGTGTTCTGAAGGTTGTTCTTCCTGATGTTTTGCCAGTCTCTGTGGCCGGCATCTTCAGAGGA